GATAAATATAAAAAAGATAACGAACATTTGAAAGAGGAAATTTTAGTGTTAGAACAGGTGGTAAAAAAATGTGATGAATTCTACACAAACTTAGATAAAAAAATAAATATTATATTAGATAATTTTATTGTAAAATATCTAAAAACTGATGAACTAGAATCTAAAATAGATAAAGTGGTTATAGTTAGTGAGGAAATAAAAAAAGTTCATTAATATAAATAATATATTCGTTCATTTAGAAATAATAAAATAAGATATCAATCTCCGGAGAACTAGACTGAATCATAAATGAATTAGAAGCTTTAAAAATTAAAAATAAAACCCTTAAAAATGAAAATAAAAATTTGCAAAATATTGACGAAATATGTAAAAAAACTCAACGAAGAAAATGAAAAACTCTCTTTAATAAACAAAGAACTAACAAAAAAAAATAACAAACTCATTCTTGAAGTACATGAAAATAATTTAACCATTTATGAAGAACTAAACAAAGGAATAACAAAATGGCTAGAATATTTGGATAAAAAAATTAATAACTGCTTAACTTTATTAAGAATTAACTTTTCAGATGCTGATATAAATAAAATAGATAAAGTCGTTTCAGCTAGTGAAAACCTCAAAACAATTCAAGAATGATTTTTGCCCAATTACAACGAATTCAAGATGAAATAAACCAATTAAAGAAAGAAAACGAAAAACTAAAAAATGAAAATGATCAAATATTAAAAAACAGTTAATACGATAAATTATTAAAAACAAACCAGGAACTACAAAAAGAAAATAAAATCGCTGTTTATCAAAACCAAAGATTAACTAAAAAAAAAGATAGAATAATAAAAAAACTTTGTGAAACAAAAATAGAATATAAAGAAAAAGAAAAAATATTTATTATCTTGGATGAAAAATTAGATATTATACTAGCTAATTTTAATTTTGAAGTAATCCCTTTAAACGAAAATGATACTGAAGAAAAAATGAAAAAAATCATTGAATTATGTAACAAAATTACACAAATAAATCAAAATTAGGTTTTTCTTTATTAATATATAAATATAAATAAAATAAATAATAAATTTTTCTCTCAATAAAATATCATTTAGTTCCAATGAACTAAATAGAATTCAAAATATCATAAATGACTTAAATAAAGAAAAAAAATTTTTAGAAAATACTATCTCTATATGCAAGAATAAAATAAAGACCACGAACAAAACAAAAACATTAACCAAAACCTAAAAAAATCTAGAATATGAATATAATTCTTTAGAAAGATCTTTAAAAAATAAATTAGAACAAATTGAAAAAGAAAAAAAAATCAATATCGAAGTACAAAAAACAATTGAAATATTAAATCAAAAAGCTGATATCGTGTTGAAAAACTTTAACAAAATAATAGTATTTCCTACTTTGAGAAATAAATTAGCTTTAATCAAAGAAATTAGTGAAAATTATAAATGAATTTCTCATCAAAAAAAATCGAAAACCTTCAAGAACTCATCGATAAAATAAGAAACGAAAATAAACTCTTATTAAAAGAAAAAGATGAATGTGAAAAAACAGACCTCACTAATAAACAAATCATCGATGAAAATAAAAACTTAAAAGAAAAAGATTTTGAAAAAAAAATATCTGAAATAATGGTAGAAATATCTAATGCAAACAGAGAACTTGGAGGTTTTTTAAAAAGCAATAACCTCGAAAAAGAAAAAACACATATAGATGAATCGTTAGATAATTTTAAAATAATCTACAATAAAACCGATTTATTAGAAACTAAAATGGATCTTATCGTAGAATTTAGCGAAACAATTAATAATAATATAGTTTACAATAATAAATAAAAATTTTTTTACACGAACAATATATCATTACTATATTTAGATTCATTAAATGTAGGTTTCCCACATTTAATGAATCTAAATATAGTTGTATGAAATAAATATAATAAATAAAAATATAAAAACAATTCATAGAAGTATTCTGAGAATGGTTTTCGTTAAAAATGTAATTGTATCACAAATAAAATTAATATGAAAAATACTTTAATTGATTTAACTCGAAACTTCTGCGTATAAAGAATTTTAAAATAAATATAAAACAACGATTTTACTTTAATCAAATATAAATAAATCTGCATAAAATAACAATCGAATTATAACAATAGATTTTTATTATTATAATGATTTCAATAAGTACGTAAAATAATGCTTTATTGTTTCATATTGTTTTTCAATTGATGTTTATTAATACTTTTTTAGTATGGTGACAAGTACTTTGAATATTTCTTTGAACAAAAGAAACCAAGTCGTTTATGATTCTGATGAACAAGATTTTCTTGGTCTTTTCTTTAAAATCAAAGTTGAAACAACTGACGAATAGTAAGCACAAAATTATCGTTCGTTAACAAAAATGGTAAAAATATTGATATTCCAAACAGAATCACATGTAAAGATTTTACTGAAAAAAAAGAAAAAACGAAACCTCCCTTACAGGATGTAACTTTTTTTTACTTAATCACCCAAACAAATATGTTTTTTATTACAATAATAAAAATTCTAAAACTACAAAAGAAAATAAGATTTATATTATCGATTGTAAAATTTAAAAAAGCTACCAAATTTTTAACTTTAAACCAACAAATGAAAGACAAAGAATTAGTGAAAAATTAATTCTTGAATATGTACAATTATATGATGATACAGACAATGATGATAAGAAAACCAATAATTTTATTTTAAAATATATATTAGTTTATATTATTTCACTTAAATAAATAATGTAAAATTCGTACAGAAACAATCTTTTTAAGTTTTGATGAAAAAATTAATTTGTTTAATTAAATAAAGAAACAAAACAAATAACTAAAATCAAATTAAATTTCTAATGTGTTGGACTTGTGGTGGATGGTGTTGGCTTGGTATCTCTCATAGACGTGGAGGAGGAAGACGTGGAGGTGGTGGAGGATGGAGACGTCCAAATGTAGTTCATCATACCAACGTTGTTTATCAAACAACTGTAATTGATCATGTAATTGATAATACAGATTATAAAAAAATTCATGAATTAGAAGCCCAATTATCTGAAATGACAAAAAATAGAGACGATTGGAAAAAACAATCCGAAGAATGGAAAA